TCCCTGCCCGCCAAACTGCCAGCCACAGGGTCCCTGCGGGCCCAGGAGGAATTGCTTTCCATGCCAAAGCTGCCGCAGTGGATTAAAGGAGGATGTGGTGACTCAGCAGTGGCCATGGAGGCATGCTGACTCACCCTTTGCTTTCCTCTCCACAAGATGGAAACAGGGAGAATAAGCCTCTTTTTCTCCCCTGGAAAAGGGATTTTCATCTAGGTGGATGCACTCACTATCAGCATGGGCGCAGGAGGCGGAAAACACAGCCAACACGACTGAATAAGGATTGCATCCTCAGTGCAATATTCAGTTGGGTCTTCATGCACTGATGAGGGAGCTAACGAGTCCCATTTGCAGCGTTTGTCTGGCAAAGCTGGTTCCAGTGCTCTGAAACCCAAGATGTGGGATTGGATCAGAGCTCAACACCTTTGGGGTGTTGGAGGATGCGGGGCTTGAACGTCACGGCCCAGTTGTTCAGCAACAGGAGTTTTCGCCACCACAGGCACGAGGAAGTAGCTCCCACTCATAGGGCCATGGCAGTCGCTTCTCTCCGAGGACGAGGTGTTCAGGGCGTTGGTCACCCAAAACACTGCAGAAAAGAGACTCAACCTAATTTGCAGGTAGGGAAACTGAGACAGAGAGGAGTTTTGTTTAGCTTGCTCAGGGCTTGGCTCCAAGTCACTGGAAAGATCCAGATATTCCCCCACATCCACATTTCTATTGGCTGTCTTTATGGTGGTGAAGGTCATTGTACAAAAGGTGTAATCTTGACAAGATTCGGATAAATTTGCTTAATAGTAGCTCTCAAAGCAGGGACTTTCTGTCCTCTGCATTGTGGCTCAGTACTGCTCGCCCCAGGAACAGTTCCTGCTTAAAAAATAGTCATTTTATGGCAAAAAAATGAATTATGCCTGCCCTCACCTCCCACCGGTGGGGTTAATCCCGCTCCTGCACGGAGGGAACGGTGGGGACATGAGAGGGCAGCGGCACTCCCTGAGCCGCGGGAGCTGCCTGCGAGGCACGCAGTGTGCAGTGGCGAAGGCAAAACAAGATTAATACAGCCAGGAGCCTCCAAAAGGGCTTTGCATTTGATGTGGGAGAGGAGAGAGATCAGAGTATGGAGGAGCCAGGATTAACATAAAATTACAAAACTTTTATTATGGGCTGAAGGGGCATCCTGGGCTGCGTGCCCCTGTGGTGTGACCTGGCGATGCCCTGGGCTGCGAGAACATGTGGGAACCCCATTGCTGGTGGCACTGCCCTCACCTCCTCCCCAGACACAGCCCATTCTGTCTCCCCTTGGGTCAGCCGGATAGAAAAGATGATTAATCTTTAGCCAGATTGATCTTCAGCCAGAAATAACAGGAGCTCTGAGCTCGCTGAGAAGCCCCCAACTTTCCTTTCCAGGTGGGGTTGAAAGAGGAGAGTCTCTGAAAGAGGGAGCCAGCGAGCACAGACAGGGCATGGGATGCACCGGGGCATGTGCCCGGCTGTTACCATGCCCATGAACTTGAAGGGATGAGGTAGCAACCAAATCCAAAGGACTTTGCCTCCCTGGTAACGTCTCAGCGTTGCTTTGATCCTGCCCTGGGTCCAGGGCGTTGCAGTGTGCTGTAGGGTGGTGCCGTGCTTCCGGAAAACCAGGTCCATGTGGGATGAGGGTTGGCGTTTGGGCTCCTGCAGCTTCCCAGTCTTTCCCGTGCAGCACTGGCTGCTCCAGGGAAAGGATGTGGCACAGCAGCAATTGCACTGAAACAGCACCCAAGCAATTCTCTGACAGGGAATCCTTCAACAATGCTCCACTCCTTGTGGGAAGGACGGTCCTGGGGATCAGCCACTGGAAGGCTGGCCCCAAAAATCCCTCTAAATCCCCATCCATTGCAGACACAAGCTGTGCTCTCCCTCCCTCTGGCTTTATTTGCAGAGGGAATTAAGGTCCTGCTGGGAAAACCTCCCCTGTGCTCTGATAACTGCCTGCATAGCCAGCTCTAAATGGCTTTTTGTAAATGAATGACTAGGATTAACGAGGTACCCCTCATCACCATTTACGTAGGGTGCTGCTGAAGTGGGGAGAACGGGACAGAGACCCCCTCCTCTGGCCAAGTCTCTTGGGCCACCAAGGAGCTGGCACATCCTGGGGACCAACACAGTGCCACTCAGCACATGACCACGCCTTTCCTTGCCTCCCTAGAGCAGGAGCTGAGGTTCCCAGCTGGGTTTGGAATGGGTGGGATGGGTGTGCGTGCACTGGGAGCGTCAGTCCTGGGGACAGAGAAACTACAGGCACCATATTTCATGAGCTGGGGGCCAGGCTGGGGATGACGCACGTTTTCTTTCTAGACAGCATTGCTGGGAAAGGAGGGGAGGTGTTTGCCTTGTGGGTTGGTGCCTGACATGCATCTCTTCACATGATGGGGATGGGGAGGCCATGGAGGGCTGGAGCTGGCCTTGTCTCATC